GAGCAGGCATTTCCCCGCTGTATGATGTGACTCTGAAAGGCCGACCAACAATGGAGGAAAGTCAATGGTGTATAGTACAGGCAGGATGACAATTCATGTCCACGCATGGATGACTACTTCCTTTCATTATATTCTCCAGGACCTGAATGGCACTGCAGTTTACTGGTGTGGACTCCCACTATAAAATTAATCAGTATTGTATGTTTGCTGATGAATCATAATATTAGCCGGACCACATTTGCCTCCTTAAGCTCATCGTCACTGGCATCTCTGGGACGTCAAAGCAAATGAAGCACATCCACAGCATTCAAACCAACGTGAGGAAGTGTCTCGACCCATGTCTGATCCTTGTCCACTTTAACCTGTCTTTTATTCATCTATTATCCCTCAGATGCACCTCCCTTCTCTCCTCCTCTCCGTATCACTCCTTCCCCCACTTCCTGACTCCTTCCTGACTCCTTTGACCCCTAAATGTTAGCAGATGAGAAGACACAACACCAATACTCATTCACCCTGCTCTTAGTGACCATTGTGTGTCTGCTTTGGTTAATACTTCCCCCGCAACCCCTTCAGCTCTCGCAGCCATTAATGACTCGGGGGGTTAAACCCACACTCGGTCCATGCAATCACAGTGTGGAGCTGTTGCTTGGTTTCTGGTGTGGCGGTATGGACATATTTATGATCAAATGTGTGTTGTAAGTGCAAAGCTAAGGTTATATCATCCCTTTGTTGTTATCAACAAAGAAAAACAAAACCAGAAATGAATTTTCCTACTAACAAGTATTTCCTGTGGAGCCACAACCTGATTCTGTTTATAGCCTTCATGCTATTGTCTTTCAAAACTATTAAAAACCCATAAAAGAGTCATACAGCTGCATGGTGTGACATATTCATTTGTTGCTGTTGACAGAGTGAGTCAGTGACTACGTTTACATGCACAAAATATTCCACTTTGTGCCCTTATTCCGAAAAAGACAATATTGTGTTTACATGGCTAACAAAAATGAATTTCCCACTCCGTGCACACTCCGAATAACGTGTCAAAATATGGAATAGTGGAACAGCTGGAGCTGCTTGTGCCACTTTGACTCTTTGCATCAAAATAGGAGTTTTTCAAAGTTTTCTACTGGTGGCCGACTTGTTTGACCATGTGAACAAAGCCTCCCTTTTCATTCCTTCAACTAACTTCTTGAAAAGGTTGTTATGATGTTTGGAAAAGACGGCAGAGGAGATACCTGCACACCAGTGTAACTGGGCTGGACAGCCACAAAAAAGTTCACAGGCTGAGATCAGTGCAAACAAATTATCAATTTATTTAGAACATCTGTGCACAAAAAGGAGGTTGCTCAAGGTGTTTTTTTTTTGTTTTTTTTAAAAATATTTTTAAGTATTTTTTTTATTGTATTTTATTTTATTTTGTATTTTTTAATTATTTTTTATTTTTTATTGTATTTTATTTTATTTTGTATTTTTTTATTTCTTTTTTTATTTTTTATTGTATTTTATTTTATTTTGTATTTTTTTATTTTTTTTTTTTATTTTCATTGTATTTTATTTTATTTTGTATTTTTTTAAATTTCTTATTTTTTTATTGTATTTTATTTTATTTTGCTTTTTTTTCTGCTATCATACATTGGTGTTTGAGAATGTTGTGAATAGGACAGGTGATTGTGATCTGGTAGTCAGGCCTCTGCTCCTCAGAGTAGGAGGCCGTTTACACGTACACGGTGATTTTGATAAACGGAGACATCTTCCTTCGTTTGTGCCCTTTGTTTACATGCAAACGGAGATTTCTCCTCTGAAAACGAGTCTTTCTAAAAACTCCGGCCAGAGTGGAGATTTTGGAAAACTCCGGTTGCGCGTTTGCATGTAAACTGAGATAAACGCAGATAAACGGAGTTATAGGCAGCCGACGTCACAGTATGCGCCGGAACTTGCGCCTGTGTAAAAAGTGCGACCTATGTTGCTATGGTGACAATGGATACATGGAAGGCTTGAGCTTCTCGTTACACTGCCACCTACAGGTTTGGCATGCTCTTGTGTATATATACATGGGTAAGTGTAAACGAAGATCTTTTTGAAAACGGAGACGGTGAAATGTCCGTTTATGAAAATAGCCGGCAACGTGTAAACGGCATCTCAATCTCATCTAATTAGTGGCTCCTCCTGACTGATTCATCACACCTGGTAGGAATCTGTCCGTGTCTCTGTGTGTTCTGTGAAGCACTCATGTCAGCAGCACTGATGATAGTCAAGGACTGAAACGTTTGCTGCTGTTTTTAGTCACCTCTTATTATTTTTTACACTTCTTTTTGTGCACAGATGTCCTAACTGAATTTCATTTTTTGCACTGATCGCAGCCTGTGAACCCTTTCTGTGGCTGTCCAGCCCAGCTTCATTGGTGTGCAGGTATCTCCTCTGCTGTCCTTTCATGTCCTTTCAGATGAACTTTTTTGTTGCCCTAAGTAGGCGCAGCTTCACAGCAGCCCTGAGACTGTTATAATATTTGAACATATCCAAAAACGTCCAGAGATAAAAATTGGTAGTCAAAACCACAAAAATACCAAGGCACTCTGTTTTACAAAAATTAAAAAGTCCAAAAACGTGTTGATATCCAAGTCTTTCAAAATGTTTTAAAGTAGGTTTGTTTCTCCTTCTGACCAGATTTGTGGGTGTCCTCACATTGGTTTCTGGTTTATGTACAATGTATCAGTGACAACGCACAAAGTTGACTGTAAACAGAGACGAGGTGTGTTGCAATCTGTGGTAAAAATCCCAGTTGAGCCACATATTCTGAATGTGCTGTATACATGTTCAAGACTGATGTTAAAACCCAGATATTATCAGCATATCCCACATGTCTTAGTCAGAAAATGCTTCATTTGGAACAAGGCCTAATTCAGAATATCCAAACAGAACATGCTGTTTATGTGGCCCGAATCAAGTTCAGAATATTGTCATGTTTGGAATGATATTATCGTCGAAATCTGGCACTTGGGCAGTGACTTACGGCTTCAAAGAATGTGGTCCTGTAACGTCGGCATGATACGTGGCCGGTTGCCTTCATAGTTGATGGTGCTCAGTGGTGTCGGGGAAATGTGGCAGGACAGGAACGAAAGTTAAGGTGGCATAAGAAAGGTGTGTGGGAGGGGTGGAGCATGGGTCCAACAAACACTGACTTTCACCTGGGAGAGCGGTGTTTGTGTCCCGCAAGATTCTAAAGCCAAACCCTGTTCTTTTTTCCGAAACCCAACCACGTCTATGTCAATTTGTGTTGTTGTACTGACGTAGTGCTTCTATAGAGTGTGCCAGTAAACCCGGAACTCCGTTAGCGCTTTGAGCACTTTGGGTTCTCTCGTCTAAAAGTCAATACGTTTTTTGAATGGGATTTTGGTAAAATGCCTCAAATAAGGTCTGTGGTTAACAAAAGCTTAAGCGAGTTTCAGGTTTTGTTCTACGACATAAAACACATCAGTAAATACCCTACTTGTGAATTTTGAAGCTTTTACGTGTCGTAAAAAAGGCGGTTGCTAACAAGTTGCTCTATACGACTACAATTAGAATGCAATTAGATTAAACGTCATCACCCCCGAACAGGCGAGAGTGCTGGCAGTCTGCCATTACAGCTTCTTATTTAGCTTAAACAGTCCGATTTCCCCATTATACAATGTTTTTAAAATAAAGCGGCCGAAATCAGTTGAAAGCTTAGTGGCGGTGACGTCAAGAGTCATGCGACCGTGGAGTAGTCATGTAGTCCGTTAAAGCCTAACGTTAGCTTTTTACTTCTGGCGATCGCATTTAAGCTTCAAATGCAGTATGAAAGGTGTTCATATGTGAAGATTATCTCGCTGAACAAAACCTGTAAGTATCATACACTTATGTTAGCCACAGAGCTTATTTTCTGACATAATCCAAAACGCAATGCAAAAATCACATTCACTTTCTCTTCCGGGAACCAGCGCGATGCTGAACTTCCGGGTTTTGACGTCAGCCCTGGCACACTCTATTTTGAAAAAAGACACGGTGTTCCAGAACATCAACAACCAACGCACCCAGGGTACCTTGCACGTCGTATCTAGACGTGGAAAGTCGATGACTGAACGCCAATATGGGATGAGGTCGGAGTGAGAATGTGTTGGAATAACAGTGGAATATTAGATTCGATGTAGTCATTTAACGGTCCAGTCAGTGATTTTGGACCATTAAGATTTGGAATTGCACCCCGTTCAGTGTGTTTACAGCCGTCACTGATATAAACAAACCTTGTCGGTCTTTGTACTCAAATAACTGTCAGTTTGAGAGTGATATCAGGTAGTGATGAGTGACTACACCTTTATCTGTACCTGCTGAACCAACTGAATGATCTGTATCTGTACCTGTACTCGCAATGGACTGAAAGTGGGTGTGGTCTAATCGAAAGTTGTTATTTTAAGCCTGAAATTGATTTGGGTTGATCAGAAGTTGCATTATTTATAATTTATTAGAAAACTATTTGGATACAACAATCTCAGAGTTGAGCTTCAGGTCATTTTTGATCAAAGAGTAAGAGATTGAAAACCCAAGCTACCCAAAGGAGGATTTCCCCTCATCAGGAGTACAGCTATCGTCACAGTTTACTCATATAGTACTCTTACTAGTACAAAGTTCATATTTTGATAGAAGGGATAATGCTCTGTTTACTTTTTGATCACCTATTGTGCCTCAGTCACACACACACACACACATGAACTGAAACACTTGAAGTGGTTGTTGCAGACGTGCTGCAGTGATTCCGTTTCCTCAGAGGAACTGTTTGGAAAACTGTGTAATGTCACATGCAGGATGAACACAGGGTGGGAAATTCTCAAAGAGCTATTCTTATAGTCAAGCTGCAAAGAGTCTAAATGGTTACGTGCCTTTTGTCTTTTTAAACATAACTCATGTTCTAAGACGGTTCAGACTAGTTCTGTGTTTTATTTCTTGGTCTCTCATGTTGAAGTATAAATACCTGTGTGTTTCAGGGGGAGCCTCTGCCTGCAGCCCTGGTGGAGCTGGTTAGAAACAGCCCCATCTCGTCCATAGAGGACCTTCAGCTGCTGCTGCTCACTGACTCCGTAGGTAAAGACCAGCGCATTCTGATATTACTGTTATAACACACGCTGAAATGTATGGGAGACGATGAGGGCCAGGTATAAGGAAGAAAAATGACAAAAGAAAGATTTTTGTTCAGCACATGGGAAGAAAAATTAACTTCAGACACAGTATTGTTTGGTTTTCTCTCTGAACAGATGCAATTTTCAGCACAATCTTTCAAAGTCCTAACAGTTATCACCACACTGTGTTTATTAGGGGGGAAAAGCGATACAGCAAAGTTATCGCAATATTTTTATTTGGCAATATCGTATCGTTACTCAGTGCCAAGTTTATTTAATAAAATAAATTATTAAAAAAAAATAATAATAAAATTGCAAAAAAAAGATTGAAGTGAGATGAACAGACTGAAAACTGAAAAAAGGTAATAAATTGCAATATATCGCAAAATATTTCATCACAATACTCAGCTTATCGCAACACGTTTAAAATTGCAATAATATTTTATTGTGACTAAAGTATTGTGATAATATCGTATCAAAGAGCCTCTGGTGATTCCCACCCCGAGTGTTTATGCATTAACAGAGAAATAATTTCTTCATTGATTCTGATTTGCAGTTTCACCAGTTCATCTACACAAGATATTTTACAGAGGCAGACATTTGTGCAAGCGCCAGCAGTTTAATGTATTCTCAGAAGTTTGATTTTTATCTTGAAATGTCAAGGTTATTCTCGATATTTTGACTTTATTCTTGTAATGCCAAAAATAAAAAACTCTCTCCTCCAACTTATTTTTTCCTCAAGCCTGGCTCAGATACTGAAAATCAACTTTATTGTCCACATTTTGACTTTATTCTCATAATGCAAGATTGAAAATAGAAAATAAATCTCTCCTTCTCTCATTTATTCCAGTTACACCTAGCCCTAATACTCTTTGGTAGAAACCAGGCTCAGTATTGGAAGTCTTTTTATGGATCCTGACACAGTAACAGTCTGACCATGTCATTAGTTTACCCTTAAATACATCTTTAATGTTCAAAAACACAAAACTATTTTGGCTGTGGCCGCTGCAACAAGGACACCTGTGTCCAAGGGGCACCCGCTCCACCGACCGAGCCACTGGGCGCCCCGACCATTTTAATCTTTAACATTAAACGGAGCAAACTAAATCTTTCCTAAACCATTCTTAACTAGTCCATACCCATTGGTAGCTTTGTCACCTTCTACCTATGCCAGTCCTCAATGCCTATGTGCAGTTTCACATAGATTGACCACGTCAGTGAGTAAAAATTAGAAAACAACAACATTGGTCCACAGGGGGAGCCACAGCGATCGGTCGCATTTTAGCCATTTGTAAGCATTTTTCTGTTGTTATAGCGCCACCCAGTTGCCAATTAGAGTTAAATTTCTCCAGTCACCTTGAGGCGTCCTGTTCTACATATCTACCAAGTTTAGTAAAAATCCATATGGCGGTTAGGCCTAGATAAGAAATGAGCTCTCTAGCGCCCCCATTTTGTTTGATGGGGTCAATAATGGAGGGGTCCCCTCAGATTATGTGTGGTCATATGCCTACAAAGTTGCGTGGTGATGGGTGAAACCCTTGAGATGTTATACACCTTTATGTGATGAGCCACGCCCTCCGCAATATTCATTGCCTTATAGAAGCTCAGTTTTAGTAAGTTTTCCAACTTTTGCCAAGAGGGAACTTTAGATATTGGTTCCTAGATTATGTTCACCCAGTTTCATGCAGATCGCTCAAACTTCCTAGGAAGAGATCCATTTGAAGTGTTTTTCAAAAAATTCAAAATGGCGGAAAATCTATATAAGCGGAAGTTATGGGTTCTTGAGGCAAATGTGTTCCTCATGAGGAGAGGCATCTCTGTGCAAAGTTTCATGTCTCTACGACATACGGGGCATGAGATATGCCCATTCAAAGTTTGCAATTTCAATCGGTTGCTATAGCGCCCCCCTTTGGCCAATTGATGTAATATTGCTTCATTCGCATCCTCCCATGACCCTCTACCACTGTGCCAAATTTCACATGGATTGACCAAGTCAGACAGACAGAGTTCTCGTCATTATATAGTAAGATCATATACCTAACTCTCACCAATAACGCTGTTTCAACCTAAAACACTGGTGGGATCCTTAATTTTCTATATCTGGAGCTCATTTATTACAAATTCATTAAAAACACATTTTGGCTGTTTAGAGTATGGTTATGCTATAATACCAAGGCAGAAAGTTTAAAATATATAGACAACCTGCTCTTCATCATCAGTGTGTTACCACATACAGTGTTATCAGTACATGTACACATAAGAAAGTTATACAACCTTTGGGCTTATGAGTATCTGTTCAAAATAAAGTACAACATCATTTTGATATCAATAAAAAAATGCCACATGAATAACAATATGAAGGCCAGTGATGCACAAACTCAATAATATACAATACACAATATGATTTATGTTGAGATGTTTTCTCGTGAATGCCGACTGAGATGATACTTTAATGCCAAGCAATTGTAATAAGAGTTCATTAAATAAACTGTGTGAGTGGCAATGCAATGATAAACTGAAAACTAACATGACACCAATAAGTGGCTGCTCCTCTAACTTAATTGTGACTTGTAAACATCGCAGTAATAAAACCAACTTGGACAAACAAATGGAGAAACAATGGCGCTCTTGAGCTCATGTTTTATTACTACACACGCAGAGGGCGCTGAAAGCCTTAGAATAAAGTTTACTGTACATCCAAGTCAAATCTGTGTGTGTTTATTGTTTTGTCTCAGATGAGGAGGACGCGACTTCTGCAGCCAATGGAGGTCACAGACTACCAAGGAGCCTCGGTGAGCTGAGCCCCCTCCTTCCTTTTTACTCAGTGTCATTAGAGAGACTGGTTTCTTGTTGCACTTGTAGATATCTTTAATTAAAATTGCTATAAGTCACATTATGGATATGTTTGCAATCGCTGATGTCGACATTTGCTATCACTCCTACTGATTAAATGTTAAAAGTGTTTGCCATTGACATGGAGGATTCCTGATTTTCCCCATGAATGTAAAAGTACTTTATCCTCATTAGTGGAGGACTGGTTGTGTTCCCTGCATCTTCCTGGGAGCTGATTGATGTGACAAGTATGGCTTTAGTGATACGGTAAAATTCTTCCCATTAACCTTTTTCTCCGCCATCATGATAAAGCAGATGTCTGAATTACCAGACAGCAATCTACAAGCGTCAGGGTGACTTTGTTGGATTCCCTCTAGCATGAGCAGATACTAATGGGCCTAAATTAATCATCATTCACACGAGGCCTAATATCTTGGATGTGTCCTTATATGTTTCAACAGAACAGCGCAATTCAACAGTGAATTTCTGTGAGGCAAAGTGGAATTAAATTCCTCCGTGTTTCTGTGTAACGGAGCAATACAATACAATAATCCACAAAGTCTGACTGAGAGAAGTTGTAGCACATCAGCTCATTTAAAATGCATGAGTTTCACATTATAATCAGCCTGCGTGTTTGTGCTCTGCAACACCTAGAAACAGGCTTTAGTGGATGTTACACTGGAGAGCTGCACAAGTCACAGCCACTGTTGTATAAAATGGTGAATTGGGCTTCAATGGTGAGAGCCTCTTATCACACTTAATACATATGCAAACAAGCTGGATGAGTCACTGTGGATGAATGAGTGAGCTTAATGGAATTGACAGGAATTAGGCTTCTCATATTTGTGCTCTTCTTTTAGCAACTTGGGAGGGTTTCTGTGGGAAATCATGAGGAGTCCCATGTGCATTTCATTTTTTTTTGTCCTTTACTTATTGATTCAACAAACACAAAGGGAAGGGGTTTTCCAAAGTCAGTGGTTAGTTGTCTTAACAGTCACATAGAGTAAATAATAATTATAATAATAATTTTTAGAATGCTTAATACAAAATCCTAACACAAGTCAAACCAGTCATACTCACACTCATGGATGGATGAGTGAATCTGGCACAGGTCTAGGGGCACAACAAACACAAAGTGTCACAAAAAAGCCACAAATAGATACAAAGCAACCACAAAGAAATGCAAATGAACCCCAAAGACATAAAACAGAAAAAAACAACTTGAAAGAGACACACAACATCCAAAAAGCAACATAAAGACAATCCATAGAGATGCACACTGACTAAAACACTTGCCAAAACAGATATGAAGAGATGCTTTAGACTAAAGACACAAAACAACCACAAAGAAATAAACAAATGACTAAAAAGAGACACAAAATTACCAAAAAAACCTGCAAAAACAATTATTAGGGGATGCGAATTAACATCATGACTCAGAACAACAACAAAACAGCCACAAAGAGACACAAAACAACCACAAAGAAACACAAAACAACCACAAAAAAACACAAAACAACCACAAAGAGACACAAAACAACCACAAAGAGACACAAAACACCTACAAAGAGTTACAAAACAACCACAAAGAGACACAAAACACCTACAAAGAGTTACAAAACAACAACAAAGAGACACAAAACAACCACAGAGACACAAGACATACATAAAGAAACACAAAACAACCACAAAGACACACAAAACAATCACAAAAAAACACAAAACAGCCACAAAGAGACACAAAACAACCACAAAGAGACACAAAACAACCACAAAAAACACAAAACAACCACAATGAGACACAAAACAACCACAAAGAGATACAAAACACCCACAAAGAGTTATAAAACAACAACAAAGAGACACAAAACAACCACATAGAGACACAAGACATACATAAAGAAACACAAAACAACCACAAAGAGATACAAAACAACAACAAAGAGACACAAAACAACCACATAGAGACACAAGACATACATAAAGAAACACAAAACAACCACAAAGAGTTACAAAACAACAACAAAGAGACACAAAACAACCACAAAGAGACACAAGACATACATAAAGAAACACAAAACAACCACAAAAAAACACAAAACAACCACAAAGAGACACAAAACACCCACAGAGACAGAAAACAACCACAAAGAGAAATAAAAGAACCTCAAAGAGACAGAAAACACCCACAAAGAGACACAAAACATACATAAAGAAACACAAAACAACAACAAAGAGACACAAAACAACCACAAAGAGACACAAAACAACCACAAAGACACAAAAAAAGAACCACAAAGACACACAAAACAACCACAAAGAGACAGAAAACAACCACACAGACACACAAAAGAACCACAAATAAACACAAAGAGAAACAAGACAACCACAAAGAGACACAAAACACCTACAAAGAGTTACAAAACAACAACAAAGAGACACAAAACAACCACAAAGAGACACAAGACATACATAAAGAAACACAAAACAACCACAAAGACAGACAAAACAACCACAAAAAAACATAAAACAACCACAAAGAGACAGAAAACAACCACAAAAAACACAAAACAACCACAAAGAGACACAAGACATACATAAAGAAACACAAAACAACCACAAAGAGACACAAGCCATACATAAAGAAACACAAAACAACCACAAAAAAACACAAAACAACTATAAAGAAACACAAAACACCCACAAAGAGACAGAAAACAACCACAAAGAGAAACAAAAGAACCTCAAAGAGACAGAAAACACCCACAAAGAGACACAAAACATACATAAAGAAACACAAAACAACAACAAAGAGACACAAAACAACTGCAAAGAGACAGAAAACAACCACAAAGACACAAAAAGAACCACAAAGACACACAAAACAACCACAAAGAGACACAAAACAACCACAAAGAAACAGAAAACAACCACAAAGAGACAGAAAACAACCACAGAGACAGAAAACAACCACAAAGACACAAAAAAGAACCACAAAGAGACACAAAACAACCACAAAGACACACAAAACAACCACAAAGAAACAGAAAACAACCACAAAGAGACAGAAAACAACCACAAAGAAACAGAAAACAACCACAAAGACACACAAAACAACCACAAAGAGACACAAAACAACCACAAATACACACAAAACAACCACAAAGAGACACAAAACAACTAAAAAATGACCAATAGACCCACCAAAACAAGAGACGCAAATCGACATGAAGTCACAAAACATTCTCAAAGAGACAAATGACTTGTGTCTGTGCTCAGGAGCTTGTTGTTTCATAATCCGTCCATGTTCTCACTCAGTCATGTCTCATCCCTCAGATGCCCAGCCAGCTCAGCATGCTCTGTGTAAAGTTCGTACAGAGGTGGTCGAGGTCACCAGGGCGATGTTGGACCGCAGCAACGCTAACTTCCTGTTGTGGCCGCCCTGCGTGGAGGTGCAGCGCTGCTCTGGCTGCTGCAACACCAAGAGCCTGCAGTGTGTCCCTCACGTCACACACACCAGATACTTGCAGGTAAACAACCACACACACACACAAAAATTAACAGTACACAAAAACACACATCAACAACATCTTGGAAAGGCTGTTTGCGTAACACTCCAATCCACTGTTATCAACCTCACCAGGTCATGAAGATAGAGTACGTCAACAAAAGACCAACTTACGCCAAAGCAGTGGTGTCTGTGGTTGATCATGTGGAGTGCCGATGTCAGCCCACTCCACGTCCTCCTGTGCCCAAGAAAAAATCATCTCGCAGACAGCACAACCACCAGCATCGAAACCAGACGCTCAGCCAAGGACACGGACAGGTACAGTGTGAATGTTGTTTGTTATACTGTCAGGGCAGTGCATTACCGCTTCACTTCTTCCATTGTTTACTTTATATTTAGCTGATTTGCATTTTGTTTAATTTTATTGTAAAAGGTCAAGATGCACTCAAAGGATGAACTCCATCAGTGGGATGAGCTGAAGCAGAACCAGAGGGCCCACCTGGAGGACCTCCTGGAGCAGCACTGGAGCCCCAGAGGAGACACCTTCACTCAGCCTGGTGAGGGGTACAGTTTGGCTGGGGAGGACACATCTCGCTCTGGAGAGGCTGTACTGTTTGCTCCACACTGGGCACATAACGCCACCAGGCTCCTTGGGACTAAAGACCAAACCGAGAATGCGGCGAATGTGGATGGGAGGAATGGTCAGATCTCGGATGGCAACAAGACTGTTTCCTCAGAGGATAATGTTGGTGTTGAGGTAAAAAACAAGTTGGTGGAAGGTGAAGATGGGTTGCTGCTCAACAGTACTGAAGGGAAAGTTAATGATGCAAACAGGAGCAGGGACGAAGGCACACAAACACACAGGCCACCATGGCAAGAAGACAAAACCAAACTTTCAAAGAGCCACACGAGTGGCTCCTCTCACCCTGCTACTCAGATTCCTCAAGCCGAGTTCAGTCCTACTGAGGCGCCCAGTCAGAGAGTCATGAGCAGGTTCCGACCAACCAAAGAGCCGAATCCAGAGCCTCGAGATCAGGCAAGACGGAGAGACAATGAGACTCCAGATGAGGTGAGGATATTACAGACAGAGGAGGAGAAACTGGAGCAGGAGAGAAAAGAGCTTCTGCTTCTCCACAAGAGGCTGGACCAAGAGAAGGAGCTACTGAGACAGCAGCAGATGAAACGTGAAGAGGAGGAAAGGCAGAGAGGAAAGGAAACGGATAGTCAGCATCACCAGCATGGTAAACACCATCATCATCTGCAAACAACCACACAGAAACCAGGTAAGAGACATGTTTGAGAACTATGAACTGATAAAAATACAAAGAAGAGCCTGTTCTTATTCCTTGGTCGTCAAATAGTGATGCTTTGTCATGCCCCTTGGTGTGTGACACCAAAAGCACCCTTTGGTATCTCCATGAGACTCACTTACTACCTCCAGCGTAAACCCACCCTTTTGCAAGATTTGATACTCAGAGCAACTGATGTAGTTTAAAGGGTGAGAAAGTTTGTGTAGGGTCGGTGGGAGGGATAGTAGATGGTAGGGGTGTGGGAGAAAATTGATACAGCATAGCATCACAATATTTTTATGTGGCAATATTGTAAGGTACAATATTGTATTGTAGGGTGAATTTAGCATGGGTATCACACGCCAAGGGAATGAGAAAGCGTCGCTATTTGATGACCTGGGATGAGAAAGCGGATTGTATATTTTTAACTCAAGGATTTTCGCAGTAACACAAAGCCACAACAAACAGATTTTTAGTATTTTTTTAGTAATATGTAAATCCTTTTCTGGCAGCAACAACATCTACGACTACCACACGGCAGCCATCAGCTCCAGCAGGCCCCAGACCTCCAGCTCGTCCAAAGAAAAGGAGGAGGAAGAATCGCAAACAAATCAGCAAGGCAGCTATGAGAGCGATGCTAATGTAAACCTAAAATAAAGCGAGGTGAGTTCACCGAATATTTAGGTAATAAAGGAAAGTAAATCAATCAGTTTTGAATAACCGTGAATAATATTGCTATTTACTGATTAATAATGCATTTTGTTTTAGTCACCAGCATGTAAGGGGTTTAAATTATGTCTTCCTGTGTTTTCCCTTCAGTGACACAAAGGAACTCGGTGTATTTCGTGGATCCAGTTGTGAAGCAGAGTGACTCCCTTCATATAAGTATTTATTCACTTGTCAGTAACCTGGTCGTCCTGTGAGATCTCCTCCGTAACACTACTAATGACTGTCTGGTGAACCTGTAACTACACCTGTGTGGAATAAGAGGAGGGTAAGAAGAAAATGGAATATAAATAAAAGGTGGACCTTGTCAAGAGAGTTGCTGGTATGAAGTAACAAGTCGCATCCAAAGACTGATAAGTTGTGTGCGAGCACAGCACCTGTGGGGGACTGAAACTGCATCGCTGTAGAGCTGTGGAAAAAAAGTGCAATTTCAAAACTCTTCTTGAAACCTTGTTTTGATATCAACAGAGAGAAACTGCACTTATATGTTGACAGAAGCGAGTCTATGTGGGGTTTAAATGGCAAAGTTTGTTGCTAAAGACTGAACCACAGTCAGACTGGACTACAAAGCGCATCTGGTGGAAAAATGGACATTCAAATGGACATAACTCTTTGTGTCACTGAAGAATCTGTTGTGTTGTAATTGGATAAACATAGAGACAATCGTCAATGGACTGCAACAACAAGTAATGTTGACTTAACTGAGCAGTATTTCCGTGTTGGATAGAACTACATAGTGAAGGTCTCAGTGTTGGGAAGACGAAGCTGTGTAGATTTACCGTACCAAGGCCTGATATCATTTATTAGCTTTGTAAAACAGTGGTGGTCTCTCTTTAACCATATTTAATATTTAACTCATTGCAAACACTGGAATTACACAGATCTGATTAGAGGACAAAAACATCAAATGTTGCATTTCAAAATCTCATCACAGGTGTGAAGAAAAAGGTGCTATCTGAAGACGAGGTGATAGCGTTACACCTGTGAGCTGACGTTGTACTATATTTCTTATTTATTTATCTCTGCCGTTACTGTGGATTAACTTTTTATTCAACTACTGCAAACAAGATGTGGTCGAGATATGTAACGATGCTTCATGATGGCTGGGTGGTTCGAACAGAAAGACAGGTTTTTAAAAGATCAGAACCTTCTGTGTCCTCCCAGGGTCATGCTGTGTTTAACCTCTATGTCAAATGTGCATTTGTTTTGTATGCCAAAGTGTGTGGTGTAGTGTGTGTGTGTGGGCTTGTGCCTGCACCTACACTTCTGTCATGCATCTCAATACTCACGTAGAAGCATTTATCTGTTTGTCTCTTTGATAAAGACACGTCTCCCTTCCACTGAAACAATCACATTCCTTCTAAACTCTGTGAGGAAAGGAAAGAAACTCCTACCTACAGTACAACACATTTTTCTTCAAGTGCCCCCACTGTATTTGTTTCATTAATCTACAACACATTGTTTTTGACATTTCATTTAAGTAAATCAAAAGTCACTTAAAGAGCCAGCAAGAATCCAAACATTGCAAATGTAGATAATGTATTTGTGTCCCTTGTATTTCCATTAGTACATTTAGAAATACTGGTGATGCTATTTGTGTCCAATAATCCATAATCAGCCAAACATCTTAAGTTATTGAAAAACATGGCTTGTACATTCCTCATGCCAACTTACAACTGTTACTGATTGTGTCTGTTTTATTGTAAAATATGATAAGAAACAGAATGTTTGTGATAACTTTGCCACCTAATGCTATTTTCATATGGGTATAAGAAGCTAATGTGTTTAAATCTACTTTGTTTTGTGTTTTTATTCATTTTCACCAGTTTTCCACGAATTAGCTTCCATAAGACCAAAGTTTTGTTAAACTCTAACTGGGCCGACAGTGAATGAGCAACAGACAAATAAAGCAAAGCTGGTTTTAATGCTAGTGCATCATAAGGTTGTACATATGCACAGCAGTGCTTAGAGTTAAATGTTAACATTGGCACGCTAACATACTGATGCTAAGCAGGTGTGGTTTTTATTATCTTTAGCATCTTAGTTTAGCACGTAGCATGCTAACATGTGCTAATTAGTACCAAACACAAAGAACAGATGAGTTGGGTTGCCATTAGTTTTGCAGGTTATTTAGTCAGAAACCTTTGCGCAAACCATGGATAGATTACTTTGCATGTTGTTATGCAGCGGATTAGGGCTGTGCAATTATGGAAAAAAATCATAATCACGATTATTTTGGTCAAGATTGAAATCACGATTATGCAAACAATTATGCGGCGCATGTGATGACTTATATTGTTTACACGACGGCATGTAATTTCTGTCTCTACATGGTCGCACGTTTACAATTCTGCTTTGCTCTGTATCGCGCACGGCGGAGTTCGGCCCCAATGTGCACACACACACACAGACCAATCTCTCTCGCTCTCCCTCTGCCATTTTCCACACGCTGTTTTTGAAATCACCTGCCCCTCGCATCATTCGTAGTTCACCTACTTGACTGGCTTGTGGAGTGAGAGGAGGGGAGGTGGTGGTATTGTGCAAGCGTGGCTTCCATAGAAGACAAAATAACATCTCCAGGTGTCCGTGACCAAAAATCGTTTACCCTCGATTTCAGTAAATTTGAAATCATTTGACCTCAAAATCGTAATCGCGATCACCAGACAATTGATAGCACAGCACTACAGCGGATATGTTGGAACTTTATATTTCAACTTCATTGTGGTTAACCACGTGGTTATGATTAGGAAAAGATCATGTTTTGGCTTAAAATACACAACTGGGGGCACAATGCTGGCTGGAAAAGCAGTGATATCTCCGTGAAAAACAATTGCTTTTCATGCCTAAATAGCTGCTAGAAACATGGCGATGGGCCATCACAACACACTCATGTTTGCTGCCTAAAAAGCCGTGGAAACACAGCAATGACTCCCGAAATAATAAACAGTTATGTTGTTTATTGTGGTCAGCACCTTGGGAAGCGTCTTGCCAAGGTTACGTGCCATCCACCATACCTTCCAGCTTCCACCTTCAGAAATGTGTTAATGTAAGGTATTCGTGGTTTGCAGAAACATACAATGCCAACATTTGTGTCTGTTGACTGGGCTCATTCCCAAAGTGATTTAAATTCACCCTGAGGGTCACATAAATGTGTCTTAGACCTGAGGAAGCCCTAAAACAAATTTAATGGAAATCCATCAAATCAAATGACATTTAAGCAAAATCCAAAAATGTCAACCTCACGGTGTTGCTGGAGGTAAAGTCAGGAGATCATCTGAGTCATTAGGATTCATCCTCTAAACATGGATGTCTGTCCCAAATTTCATTTATTCAACAGCTGAGATATTTCAGTCTGAACCAAAGCAGAAAACAAACTTTTTTTTAACACTCCAAACTCTTTAAGGAAGGATAAAGCCTGACTTTTTTATGACACTGTGAACTCTCTGACTTTCTTACCCCCTTGTGAACCCAGGTGGATTTATTTACTAAGCCTGTTTGGCATATTGCGTCTACACAGAGCATCTGCAGCTCCCCGGAGACATCACATTGACTCCTTAAATTCACACTGCCTGGTATTGAGCGTTAGTCCCAGTGATGCGCAATGAGGTTTGCTCTATCTGAGACAAGAGGGAGAGTAAAGAAAGAGTGGGGGCTGATGTGCTGTAGGTGAACTCTGGCACACACTCTTTGTGGTTAGTTTTCACATTTACCCACTTGACTCTTGGCTGTAAAAACTCCCCTTCTCAGCAGCCATCTGCACAGTTATGTCTGCTAATTATCGAGTCAAGAAGTCATCTGCTCCACTGTCTAAATGAAATCATACGAGGAGTGGCTTTGAAGCAGAATAAATGTCAGATTTAAACCATGTTTAGAGTAAACGGGCGTTTACTTACATGTATGCAGTTGTAATTATGGTCCTCACACATTTAGGACTTAAGGAGCCACGTTCTTGGTCTTGACTTGATGTAATTTCCATGAATCACCAGGTTTGATGTCTGCACCAAATGACAATTTTGCAGAAAGCTGCTAGCATCAGCGTCTCACCCTTAATCCCCCTGTACATGACTCCTAAAATTCACTGTGTATTCTGCTATTCATGTATTACTTCCCGTTGCCTTACTGTCAATCTCACACAGACATACTACTTCTAAACAGCACACCATCTCCAAATTCAGCATCGAGGTGGGATGCCTGTGTTTCCGCGGGTGTCCCAGCAGGTCCCCACCCCCGCTGACTTCAAACAGGAGCGGGAAAGAGAAGTGCGTGGAGGGTTGTTGACTGTGACAAACACACACACAGGGGTCAACCACCATGACAGCGTGGGAGGGTCTCAGAGGGACCAGAGACTGTGACTAAAGACGTGAGATGGTTCATAGCTCACTGGCTGACCTTAAAGAAAGATATGGCTTGTTGGGTCTCAACAACACGGTTACCTGACCAGCAAACAACATAATGACCCATTGAGACCAGAACCTGATGAACAATTTAACAAAGACCAAACTGGTTTAGAACCATGACCCAACCATAATCACCAGTTAAAGCCTGTTGCATAATATCAATTGTGTTAGGATTCATTGGTGGAGTACGCTGGTGCCTTTCCTGACGTCATGGGGACACAAGTCACACAGTCACATTGTGGGGACTCATCTCATGTTTGGGAACAAACAGTGTGTCCTCAAAGGTTTGACCTTTTGTTAAGGTTAGGATAAGGGTTTGGGGAATGCACATAGTGGTTATGATCAGGGTCAGGGTAAGTCTCTAGAGAATTAAAGAATGCATTGTCCTCCTAAGTGATGGAAACGAGTTTATGTGTGTGAAATCAGGCACTGAAACATGTGGTGAGCCTCTGGAATGTGCATCCATGCAGAACAGCAGCAGCTTCAACATCACTTAATAAAAAGCCTATTTAAGGTCTATTCTTCTCTCTAATCTTGTTTATCAGAGGGTGGGGGCACCTACCATTTTTGATAATGTCAAAATGCATATTTTTAGACATCAATGAGAACACACCACTGTTATCTCAACAAAACACTGCCCCTGCTTCATGTCTTCATGAGCAAAAGAGCTGTATAGTCATAGAAAATAGTGAAAAGATCATTAAAAATATTTCTTTCAAAGTCAATGAAATGGCAAAGGCCTTATCGGCTTACGCAAGCTACCAGCCAGTTTCAACCAATGATATCACAACATCCATCCATCAGTTAATGTGCAACTTCTGGCTGGACAGAGCTAGTTAGCAAGCTAGCAAGAGCATGATACCTCAGTGTGTCCCCGTTTCCCCAAAATACTGTGGTTACGGGCTGCGGGCTGAATTTATGGTGGTGGTGAGGACGTTTCCAGTTACCTCTCTGTCACTTCTGCTATATTTGTGTTAAATTTGGTCCGTGTACTTCGCGGCCATTCGTTTTTCATTTCGATAAAACAAATTGAAACACAGAAAACCAACCATTATCTGTTTTTTGTTTTGAAATGACCAAACGAAAAAGGAAAAAAACGACCCATCTCCCATTTTTTATTTGATAATAAAGAAAAGAAAAACGGAAAATGAATCGTTAGCCGTTATCCGATTTAATTTGGGAATTTAAAAAGACCCCATGGGAAACTCCTTTCTCTATTTTTTATTCGTTTCTTCTCTGTGACCAGTAAGTTGCATTCATGTGGTGTCGGAATAATCGGAAAAATGACTTAACGACTGGGAAAATACACATGAACGCCTGCTCATGTCAGAAAAACAACTTGGAGATAATTTTGGAACAGGAGATGCCGACTTGACTGAAATTGACGTCACTTTCACAGAAAACTGGTGGACGAAAAGGAAGGTTTGGTCCATGGCAATAAAACTTTTTATTAATTCACATATTGCATATCATTTTTGCGGACATGTAATGTGTAATGTGATATGCCGTTAGTTGTTGTCCATGTAGAGTGACCTAGCATAACATGTCAAAGCAATATTCTAGTAGTTATAGGAAATGTACATGCTCTGTATGTACATTTCATGACCAGGTCCATGCACAGATCTTCCACACACACACACGCGCAGCAGGTTGACGCCCTCTGATGACGCTCCTTCTCATCCTCTGAAAAAAAAAAGTGGTGGCTTGCTCATGGTGAAAAATAGAGAAAGGAGTTTCCCACGGGTTTTTTCTTAAATTCTAAAATTAAATCAGATAACGGATAACGGATAACGATTCGTTTTCCGTTTTTCTTTTCTTTATTATCAAATAAAAAACAGGAGATGGATCGTTTTTTTCCTTTTTCGTTTGGTCATTTCAAAACAAAAAACGGATAATGGTTGGTTTTCCGTGTTTCAATTTGTTATTTCGAAACAAAAAACGAATGACCGCGACGTACAAATTTAGGCTCTTATTTCAACTCTAAACTCTAAACCCACCCACTTTCAGCAGTCCAATCTGATTTAAATCTCTTTTGTAACTGTACACCAATCAAAAAATTTGTTTCACGGGCAAATACATCGCTGTACGGAAGACAAAGACACTCTAACTCCTGTTTCACAGGGACTTTAAACTGTCATGTTGTGAATGGTGGTAGTTTCTACTGAGCTAGAGCGTGTGAGTTTACATGATCACCCATTTGTGGTATCAAAAGAATGATTTGGTTTATGAGGACAGGTTTCAGACCTTTAAAATCTGCCCTGACAAGCTGCCTTCGAAGACACAACTGTCTGTGTTTGGGTATGACCTGAATTCCCTGATGTACAGTAGCGAGGAAACAGGAGGCCTTTGAACAGGAGGTTACACAAGCATCCGTGTGGCGCCACGCACTCCCTACAC